ATATATATATATATATATATATATATATATATAATTTTACATCTCTAATTACACTCTTATATGAAATATTACAATCGATTACGCATAATTGTTACTTATCACAACTTGACCCCAAATAGTAATTGTTTTGGATTTGAAATTTAATTTTTTTTTCCCGACAGGCTGTGACAATCATTTCCTTATTATTTAGTCAACTTTTACATTTGTAGTTGATATGGGGATATATTTTTTTTTGTTGTCAAATTTGACCTAGAGTTTGAGAAAAGTTAAAAAAAACAAAGGACGTCCAGAGATCATTCTGATAAACTCTCACTTGTAGAATTATAAGACTTTTAACTATGCTCGTTACTCCTGTCAGGAATGAACCTACCTAAATTAGCATAATGGTCAATCACCGAACCACAATATATTAAAAAGACAATTATTTATTTATGGAAGAAATTATTTTGCGTTTAGTTTATTTACGCATAATGAATTAACGATACTCGAAATATATTTAATTGGATGCGCAAAACTCACCAAATCCCTTGATAATCATGCAAGCCAATAATTTCGTAATCAATAGGAAGATCTTTTTGTGAAATCAGATGAGTACAAAGTCTAGATATATATTATAACATAATACATTAGTACTATGATACTAAAAGTCTGATAAAAACATATGATTGACAATGTTAGTAGGGTGTGACGGTGCAAAATAGAAATAATATCATGTTTGACATCGAGCCTTATATAGAATGGAATTCATTTTAATATGGTCTGGGCAAATTTAAAATAATAATAAAAAAAAATTCCACATTTTTTACTTTTCAACTAGCCATTTATTTATTTGGACACGAGAGAATGGAGGTGTTTGGAGTCATGTCGGTGTGCAACAGCCATAGAATTTTTGTGTGTCTTGAACTCTCAATCCTCAAAAGTAAAAGATATTCCTTGTAAAAAATTATTAATTAAAAATGATTAAAAATGATATTTATTTTAATATTAATTTTGTGATACTTATTATTTTTATTTACACATAACGAGGGTAATGACCCAAAGGTTTGAGTCACAAATATAATCTCTCTTTGTTACATAAATTTGACCCTCTTTAAATCGAGAAAAATATTCATTACAACGGTGATATATACCACATGACAAGGTGATTTGATATCACCAACAAATAATACTAAAACAAATAAGCAGATGAACACTAAAAAAATCAATAACTAATCTGTCATGTAATTAAATAACTTTTTACTCTTCTGCCATATAAGTCAAAGCGGAGTTCACTTTTCTCATTTGAGTTACACTGGATTGTTCCTACGTTTATACAATTGTAAATTTTAGTTGGATATGGTACCCATTTTTTAAAAGTAGTATAAGACCTTACATAAATATTATGCATATCTCTATAATCTTTTTAACAAAACTTGTATATATAAAAGTTGTTTGGTTGATAGTGATTTGATGTTGTTCTTTTTCGTAAAGAAAGATAATGTACTTTTCGGGAGTTGGACTTGTGAAGAATTTTTTGGCAGTCGGTGGTGGAGGTGGGGTTGGTTTAGGTTCGCCTTCCGGTGTTGACCTTTTGTTCTTGTACCTGTACACATGCCAACAAAGTCCCCATATCGATCAGAGATTGCTCATCGGACGACGGAGACAATTGTTTGACAAAAATGTCTTTGATTTTGGTCAAAGGTTTCAACCTCGTCCAGGTAAAGGCCAGTATTTTTGGGATGTTCTGTCTCTGTGTGGGCTTTTTCACTTGGAGGTGTGTGTGAGTGAGGGGCTTTTTCACTTGGATTCGGACTTTCAATTGTCTATTCTTATATCAAAGTCGAGTGTGTTACTATGAGTCATGTTACGGAATAAAACATTTCGCACTGGCATGAAGCTAGTTTGTTTTTGACCAAGCATCTTCAGGTCACGGAGTGTCCCTTTTT